GAACCGGATGAAGTCATAAATAAAAATTATTTAAAAATTAAAATATTATATATGTAATATCTAATAATATATAGATATTAATAAAGGTATATCCATATATATTTGATGTTTCAAATATATTTAACAAGAAAATACAAAAAAATTAGAACAATCAAGTAGCAATTTATATTATTTAATAAATATTAACAAGTTTAGAATTAAAATTATGAATTTAATTGAAAAATAACATCAAATTTTAGGATAATATTTATAAAATATCAAATATTTGAGGTATATCAATAAGTTTTAACAATTTAGGGGGTCAAAACATAATATTAAAAAGTTTAAATTTTTTTCAAAAAAATTACTGTTGAACCGGAAAAACCGATTTTTGACCGACTTTGACCGGGTTTTAAATTTCCGATTTTTTAATGTGACTCGGACCGGTTACCTGGCCGGTTCCCGGTTCGACAGGCCGGTCCGAGTTTGAAAACAGAGGCTTTTACCACACTCTATGGCCTACGGTAACAGTCTCAAATTGCCAGTCCACGAATCATGAATGAGCAGCAAAGTTACGCGCCAAAGACCAAACATCCCTAGTAGTAGGTGTACTTGTATTTGCAGGGGAGACTATAAATTGCAAGACAAAACTTAAACAACAAAACTAAAAACGCGTTCGTTTTTTTTGAACTATCTCTAACATAACACATGTATGTACTGCTACTGGTACGCTAGAAATTTGAAAGAGACCTTCATTCATTCATATGCAGCATCCTCCGTCTTCCCTTCCAGAAGCCCGACTGGACCGATGATGTCCCTATAGTAGTGCTCTCTTTTTCGGACTTTAGATCGCTAAATATTGCGCAAGTAAGTCGTAATTGGAGTACTAGAATTCGTATCACCTGGCCCCACCCATATTAATGATCTACCCCAAAATGCTGCTTGCATTATTACGTGGCAATTTCTTTTCATTTTCACGTACCACCTCAGCTCATCCATGGTCTACAGAACCATCTCATGGCCACATAATTTATGGTTCCACTGTGAATCACGGGTCATGCAAGTCCCTTCCTAGCGCGTATCTGTGTGTGTATATATATACACACATTCTCCACCCTCGATTACCAGCATATTTATTATTCATCCATTACAGGGCGGGCGCTATTAAACAGCACCGCATAGCATATATATACTCGATACTGATTTCCTCTTAGTGACGAAGCCTCAAAATGATGGCAGGAAAAGAGAACCAATCCCCACATCCACTGGTTCCGGGACCGGCCAACGGAACATACGTGAGAACCGGCGATGACGAGGCAGGAAGGGGAGGCTCCAGAGAGCTCCGTCGCCAGAAGCGGAAAAAGTATTTACTTTACTTCGTTGCCTTTGTCATCTTCCAAACTGGCGTTATCTTGATCTTCACACTGACGATCATGAAGGTCCGAACTCCGAGGTTCCGCGTCCGGTCCGCCACGTTCGACCCTTTCAACGTAAGCAGACAACCGAATAACCCTACATTCGATATAAGCATGAACGCTCAAGTTGGCGTCAAGAATGCAAATTTCGGCAGATACAAGTACCAGGGCACCACTATGACCTTTTTATACGGAGGCAGCCAAGTTGGGGAGGGCGTTATTTCGAAATCAAGCGTTGGATGGAGATCCACCAAGAAGTTTAACGTTGCCGTCCGACTCACTTCTGATAACTTAACATCAAATTCACAACTGGCAGCTGATTTGAACGCCAACATTTTGCGACTTACCAGCCAGGCTGAATTGAAGGGTAAAGTGGCGCTCACCTTTATATTCAACAAGAAGAAGAGCGCCAAAATGAATTGCACCATGGATGTCTTCCTCACCGCCGAACAGCTGGCCAACATCTCATGCGACTGAGTGAGATACATGCATATGCTAGCTCCACTATCTTCATCTTCCTGATGATCAAAATTCACATATATACTCTACTCTACTTGAGGGGACATTCATGAGTTTTATAGGTCGTGTGGATGATGGTCAGGTCCCCTTGCTTGCTTCCTAAGTAGTAGTATCTATTTTTGCTGTTATTAACTTCAGTTCTTTCTTTCCATGTATTATTTCGGTACTGTACTATGTTGGTTAGTGTTCTACTACACAGGACGTGTTCTTTTTTTACTATTAATTAATGTGCCGCGCGGGTATTTGATTTTTTTGTTTGGTTTGTTGTTTTAACTTTTCTTGGCGCCTTCAAATGTTCTCAGATTAAGATTTTCTTGATTGTTTATTTGTTATTTTATCAGAAGTATTAATTAATAATATAAGAAGAAGCATGAAGGGACGTTGACGAAATGCCTTTTTTTTTTTTTTATCACTTCAATTCTTAATTTAACATAAAAGAAGGTCGAAGTAATTCTTTATTATTATTATTTTCCTTCAATGTAATTTTCGGCGTGATTCCACGTGGACCTGCACTTCACTCTCAGTGTCTACTGGGACGTCGTTATCCCTAGCCGCGAAAATTCAAAGGCACCATAATTAAGTCAAGGTTTCAAGTGTCGTACGCGATTGGAAGTTGCAGACCGAAGGGCCAAAGTCTTCTTCAGCGGGTCAGCACCGCTTCCACGATCAGCTTGCTTAGATATAAATTTACTTGGAAACACATATAAACCCTACCCACCTGCACCCGCAACAACTTAGTAGTAGTAACCGGTAATAAATACAATACAATACATGGTACAAGCAATTCTTTAAGAAATTAACTTTGAAACAACAAGTTGACCTTGCCAAAATGGGAGGGGAGCGGGGCCCGGCCCGGCCCGGCCCGGAACAAAGTGGACGACCAAAAAGCGGCAAAAGTAAAAAAAAAAAAAACGATCGGGTTGTAAATTGCTGCCTGTAAAAGTTTGGCTTCAAAGTGTTACTAACATATATATTTTGCGGGCCAAAGTGAGATAACTCAAAAAAATGTATGCTGCATTTTATGCTGGTCAATATATCTTATGGGCTGTGGCAGTGAAGAGAATCAAAAGCCAAAATAGTCAATAAGTAGAAAAATGATCGCTCCAGACAACTAATCAAAGTCGAAATTAAAGAAACGTTCGATACGAAGTTTTCTTGCGAATTACCCCATCCATCACCGTCTTGGCTTGACAATTGTAAAAGCCCCTCGCCTTATTGTTTTCTGTTTCACTTATCAAGTTCATCAGTAGTCAATAAGTTAGTCCAATATATTTTTAAAATGTATATACACCGTTATTCTTGACGCAGGTTATCTCCATCATTGTATTTATGTTTCGTACGGTGGACTTAAATGCTGAATAATCAAAAGTCACTAAAAGTTGAGTCCTGCACTCTAAAAAACATAGAAGTCTAAATTAATTAATAACACATTAGGTAATAGGCTATTAATAACTTAGCATAAACATTTTAGATCCATGATCTCAGTCCAAATAATTATTTAACCAAAAGTTGTATTGATGTATTCTATTTAAAAAAAAAAAAGAAAAAGCCCCGAGTCCCTAGCACATGTTGTCTATTACGGGGGAAAGAGACAAGGGTCTGTCTGAAGAAAAAGTTGAAAATGTCAAAAGCAAATTTGAGAATGAAATAAGAGCTCTAAATGGCATAATAGCCTTATATAAAAGTGTGGATGAAAAAAGTGGAAGCTTTGGAAGAAACGTACGGAAAGAAAGAACCGTAGAGATATATAACCACAAAAAAAAAAAAAAAAAATTTGCTATGGGTAAACTTGGCATGCAACTAGGGGTGGTGTGCGGGTCGGGTGCCCATCCCGTCCATCATTTTGCTGACCCGATTCACACCTTACAGGTCGGTCATTTTTTTTATTTTTACCTGCCCTGCATATCAGAGGGTACTCACTGAAATAGGATTGGATCAACGGGGTATCCGCTCCGCCCTACTTATCATTTAATTTTTTTAAAAATAATTTATGCTAATTTAATTTTATATTTTATACATTCATCTAAGATTTAATAAAGATTTTTTTCTCAAAAAAGTTTCCTACTAAGAAACAAGCATGCGAAGAAGATACAAGAAAGGGAAAAATATTAAAAGAATTCAAAATCAATAAAAGTTTAAAATAAGCAGCACATGTTTTTAAATATATGTTCCACATTAATTAAACTCTTTTCTATAAAATATAATATCATAATTTATACAAATGAATCTTATAAATAAACTATAGTCTCTCATATTTGTAATGCAATTTGTACAATAAAATTGCTTATTTAGTTCTAAAAATATTATTTTATAATAGTATGTGTATAAAAATAAAATATATATATATAAATGTGTGAGGCGGATCAGATACTTGCGAATTTTTAATTGTGTGACCCTAACTCGCTCCCGCACCCGCATCTTAGCAGGTACCTAATTCTCTTTTGACCCGATCAAATAATACAGATCGAGTATCCTAATTTTCGGATATGTCAAATTTTTGGGCTTGCGGATAATTTTACCAACCCCTGTATGCAACGAGTCCGCCATCATGGCATCGCGTTAACATGTTAGTAAGATTAATGAAAATAAAAAAAAAAATTGCTAATTCGGGCTGTTTCCCGTATAAAAGATAAACGAAAATGTCAACAACTGCAGCAAATCTCTTGCTTTAGAAGGAAATTAGAATTCCTGCACTTTTACGATGTATCCAGAGTACTGCATGGTTAAACCCTCGAAGCATCCAAATATTCTTAGTGGGCTCGGCTGTGGGCAAATTTACGCTGCAAAAACAAAAAATATCAAAGATACAATAAAGTCAAAAAAACTATGGAATATAAGTCATACGCGGATGGAACCATCTAAAGATGTAAAAAAAGTTTCAAAACCCGCCTTCATCACTCCTTCCCTTGTTAGTTCCCCTTCATCAACTAACTGAGCTTCCAGGAATCCATGCCATAAATATACACCATTCGCTTCCAAGAAGACTTGTATTGCATGGCACTTATTTATAGGGTGCGCAGTTGCCCATTGCTCAAACAATCTCCATCTCTCCAATATTGATTAATTTCCTAATCTTTACAATATATATCAGGAGTATCATAAATAAAAATTTTAAAAATGGCCGCGAACCGTTCCCCAGCTCCATTGGTTCCAGCCAACAGCACTCGTCCTAGAAGCAACATTGAGGAGGCAGCAGTGGAAGACTACTCAGGAGAGCTCCGTCGCAAGAAGCGCATCAAGTATCTGCTTTACGTTGTTGCTTTCGTGATATTCCAAACTGGTATCATAGTCCTCTTTACTCAAACCATCATGAAAATCACAACTCCCAGGTTTCGCATGGTCTCCGCCACATTCGACAACTTCACTGTCGGGACCCCATCCAGCCCTTCCTTTGATCTCAACATGAATGCTCAACTTGGTGTCAAGAACACAAATTTTGGTAATTTCAGGTACCCAAGCACCACCATGTACTTGTACTACCGAGGTACTCAAGTTGGGGAGGCCCTCGTTCCCAAGGCAAACGTGGGATGGAGAACCACCAGGAAGTTTGACGTTGTCGTCAAGCTTAGCTCAGCTAATTTGACATCAAATTCCCAAGTACTGGCAGATGATATAAACGCTGGTGTTTTGCCAATTACCAGCCAGTCTGATTTGAGGGGCAAAGTACGGTTAACCTTCATATTCAAAAAGAAGAAATCCAGCAAAATGAACTGCACCATGGATGTTTTTACTGCAACTCAACAGCTTTCCAACATCTCATGCAAATAATAAATGAATGTTATCTTTTGCTTTGGTGTTGGAGCGAGGTTGGCCCTGAATGATGATCAAATTTGCATACTCGACCTATAGTAGGGAACACTGATATCTTATATGGTCCTATGTATGTATCTAACGTCTCATCAGGTCATGTTAGTATAATCCGTTCGCTTGCTTGTTATCTATTGTGTTTTCTAAAGCTTTTATCTTGTGGGCTTTGTTTTGTTAATGAATGCTCTCTGTACGCATGCTTGTGATTCTATTATTATTGGTATTGTCCCTATTTGATTTTTTTTTTCCTCTGTTATTAACTTGAGTCTAAGGTTTACTTGGATAAGAAGCTGTGACAAAGGAAAATAAGGATTGGATAAGATGTTGTGATGAAGGAAAAGAAGCTAACGTCGGGAGGCTGAGCGTTGGGAATAAATTAATGAAAATTTGCTTTTGAAAGCATACGGTTCAGTCCAAATTGCAAGGAGCTCTGCTCCTTGTCAACTGACGAGGGCTTCGTTTCCAATGTTTATTGTTGAGGAGTGTACGCCTTGAGCCCAACTACATTCAGCCCAAGGGCCGAGTTGGGAGTCACTTGGTAGGACAAAGAACTATCCTTCCCAACAAACCCAAGCCTTCAATCGACAAAAATAGAACCAGAAAAACTATTGAAACCCGAACAAAGATCCTAGTTTTGGACCAATTAAAAAAAGTACGGTTGTGTTTGGATTACTGGAGTTTTTATAGAAAATGTACTATAACCATTTGATATATATAAGATAAAAAATAATTGAAAAATGTATTCACGAAAACGTAGAGACCCTTTTCAAAATCTCAGAACCCTCCCAGTTTAACTTCAAGCCCATCTACCCCCAAAAAAAAAAAAAAATTCCCCCATTTTTCATTCGCTTAAAAAACAGGTTTATTATTTTTTATTTTGCCCCTTACTGTTGAAAGATTCAAGTAACTCCATCGTTCATAGGCACGTGTTGATCGTGCGAGGGAATCAGGTTCACCGAACGCAGTCGCATTCGAAAAATTTGTTTCCTTTTGTGCGACTTTGTTGTAGAAATAATTATAGATCACTTATAATGTCTAATGGTAATGGTTAGACACAAGAATAGAGGAGACAAAGTATCAGCAGCAAGAGGGACATAACTGTATCTATCGTCCATGGATATAGGATTCTGTCGACGGCTTGCTTTTTTGGTCTGTCCTGATTCATGGTATGATAACCGGATTCCTTCGGCATCTCCTCGATTTATTTACATTTTTTTAAAAAAAGCAGCCAAACAATTGTGCCAATAATTGTTTGTGTCTTCGAGGATCTTGATATATTATGCACCCGACTATTAATCGTGTGGCTTGGTCGCACTGTCTTGATCTAATATACATAACAAGGTTCAAGGTTGGCATCTCGTAATCAAAGAAAAATTGTTACGTTTTTCACGAATATATTTTTCAATCATCTTTTTACCTCACATATATTAAATCGTTACAATAATTTTTTTACAAAAAATCTAGAAAAATGCAATCCAAACACAACCTTTATCATTAACATTTCGTGTTAAATAATTTCGATTTTGAAAAATAAAATAAATGAGAACTTTTCAACAAATACAGAAATCAGAATTTGGTGCTCTAAATTTGGAGTGTTTAGATACCTCAATTATTTCAAATAATATTTTGCTTGCATCACAAACACATTTCTCAACCTACCTTTTTATATTCCTAATCACCTTTTTATCTCACATACATCACATCACAAAAAGTGCTACAGTAATTATTCCAAATAATATTTCAAATAATACACTATCCAAACTTTGGATTGCATTTTTCTGAATTTTAGAAACATATCTTGTTTGGATTGCATTTTTCTGAATTTTTTTGTAGAAAAATTACTGTAACGATTTAATAAATATGAAATAAAAAGCTGATTGAAAAATGTGGAAAATTACTGTCCAAACAAGATTCCACCATCCTTCATTCCTTTGTACTCCGCGTCTTATTCTCGCTTGGCTTTTGCATTATCTGAAAAAACAAATAGCAGTGCATACTTAACTGTGGAAAAACATTCATTAAGGGGGGAAATGTTAGCCAGTAGCGGGGACTCGCAAAACAGTGGAAGACATAATCTAGGCGCCCGGTAAGCCTAAGGAGATCAACCAAGGGATCAGAGCGGATCAAAGACTCCCTTTTGGATGAGGAATGGTGCCAGAGGCCCTAAACTTTAGCGGTATTCGATGCGTTGGTTGGTGCATGAATGACTACTGGTTTTCTGTTTTCAATACTGTAAGCCTTTGTCCTTGATCATTTGCCAGATGAATAGCTTGTCTTAGGGTTAACCCCCATTGAACCGAATCTCCTTTGGGATATTTGTGTTCAGCTTTTTGCTGTTCTTCAAACATCACCACGTAAATGTATCAGAACATGGAGAACCGAGCCACCTCCCATTGGATGAAGGGCCAATCTTCAGTCAGCATAATCGAGTCTTTTTTCCTTGTTTTTGGCCCTTTTCTTTCCCCTTGCAAGAGGCATTACCCAGTGACTTGGGGATGGCAAGACACCCGCACCCCCAGCCCCGCTTGCATCCGCGGGGAAAAGAAGTGTATTATTATTTAAAGATATATAATTAGCAAAAAGCGTAATTAATATTTTAATATATATGTACTAATCAATAATTTGTATTAATATAAATAAATTATTATTAATATAATTAACAATATTAATTATATTACATATACATAATATGATATTTATAACTACTAATATTAAATATGTTATATAATATTACTTATTTTTTTAGGTGGATGACAGAACAAGGATATACTCCCTCATCTCCAGTCCCGTTCTTTAACGGATAGAGAAAATGACCCCCATCCCACCCTCTCCCAGCCCCATCGATAATCGAGAGTATCTGTTTCAATTGTTATCCTTGACAATGTAGACATATATATATATATGTATGTATATATATTTTTTTTTTATTTTTTTTGGTGTGGTAAGTGAAAGCTCGTGAGCAACAGGACGGACGTCCATTTACATGGTAACTTTGGTCCAAGTAAATTAGATAAGCAGAATTTTGCAGTTTGTACGGTGTTTTATAATTTTCATGCTTAAACTTTGACGGAGGAAGTTAAAGCTTTGAGGCAGCTCAATTTGTGCTGTTCATATCCAGAGAGGTATGAGATGGTTTTTTTTTTTTGTAGTAGTAGTATGCTTATCCTTTGAATTTCTCAAAGGGGGAATTGCAATTTTGGTTTTCAATGTTTGATTTGTGTATCAAATTGGTCTTCAATATTTTGATCAAAACAAAATTTGTCCCCAAAATTTATAATTTTAAGTAGATTTAGAACAATTAATGGAAACAAAACAACTGACTAATGGTCAATATTAAATTGGCGTTAGTTAACAGCTATAACTTTGTACTTTTAATCCACAATGTTTTGATTTTAAATTATTATCTATTTTCTTAAATTTTAAATTGTGATGTTAAGGGTTTTCACATGAATTGAGATGCAAATTATATGAGTAATAGGAATTCTAATTAAATTTATATTTTTTATTTTTATGCTATTTATTTATGTCAATGATATCCCATATGTTTCTTTCCTTTTTACATAGTCTCAGATTTGGTACTATATACTTAATATTTTTCATTATTAACAATTAATTGATACTGAGTTTTATTATATTTTATTTCTACTGATAACTAAAACTTTTATTTAAATTTTCTTTTAAAATATAAAAAATATATACATTTTGTAAATTAAGTTTTTTTTTTTTTTTGTATTTTAATGGGTTAGCTATTGAGTTTGAAATGAAGTTGACATTTGTAAGCATTATATGAACCTTTAAATGATCATCAAGATACATAAATATTAAAATAAATGCTTTAAATCTACATTATTGGAATGTTAGATTTTAATTAGTAGGAAAGACAAAAAAAAAAATTTACCTATTTGATCATTATGTAGATGCAATTTGATTGGTGGAGTTCTGCAAGCTTACCCTCTAAAACGTGCCTTAGCAGTGAGACGGCATATAGACTATATATTTAATTTAGCTCTCAACGAAACGTTTATAGAATTCTTTGAACAGTACTACCAGTCTCTCACATAACATTTTATCCGCCCTAATAAGACTACATCTATTACACCCCAAATTTCTCCTCTCCCTTGCATGAGAAGCATAATCACTCTCTCAGCTATATATACGTACATGTGATGCCCTAGGCGTAGAGGAATCACATTAATCCATCTCAAACTTAGTAGTCAAACTTAGTAGTTAAAAATAGCTCTACACCAGGATGATAAAAAGCTTAATACCTCTCATTTTAAAAAGCTTAATACCTCTTGACGTCCGGTGATTTATTATTTTTTTGACCCATATTCAAATGTATAAATAATTACTTAAAGGCTCGGTGAAAATAAGAAATTCAATGATCTATTTCTCTTGTTGACAAATTGATTAGACTTGTTTCTCATTTTTTTCTGTATCAACTGTAACTATAGAACGAGCATTTTTAATTAAAAAAAATAAAACAAAACTCCAAAATAACTTACAAAGATAATTTTTTTGAATGTTTGCTTAATTGTGCACATAAATAAGGAAGTTGTTTGAAAATTTAGCATTGATTCAACCATGGATGAATTTAGTTCTATGAAAGAATGTAAAATTCAATTTACTTTTAAGAAAAGAAATTGAAATTTTGAGGTATGTTAACATAGCTTTTATCCTTTTTTTAATTAAAAATAGTTATATTTTTATTTTTGCACAAGTGACATATTAGAACATCTTCTTATAATGTGTAATTGATTTGTGTTGTTATAAGATATTTAATCAAACATTTTATGTCTTAATTTTTATTATGACTATACTGCATGTTTATGAAATAGACATACTTTTATAATTTAAAAAATTAATATTTAATATTTTAAGATATCATATATTTAAATGGATAAATATTATTTTGAACATAACATATTAAAATAATTTTGTTAGAAAAAATTTTGGATTCTCCAAGGAAAAAATCGTGGCTCCGGCATCGTCTCCATCGATCCCTATCAGTTGCAGCATCTGGATTCAAAGAAATGCATCACAGGAGTGCAGTCCACAACGTCAGCCGGCATTCTAATTGAAAACATTTGCCCGTCGAAACATTCCTTGCACGAGTAGCAAGTAGTAAATGTGGGGGCCACTGGGAGGTCCAGTGGTCATCCTAAGCTTTCTTAGGCTTTCGAAC